CCCCACCTCCTTGTTTTAGATGAGCTGACAAACTACCTCGAGTACCTGTCGACAGAGGCACTTTCGAGAATGGAGGCATTGAAGAAACACAACGGCACAGCGCACGTTGTGTCCCATGACCAGTCCTTTGTCTCCAAGGCAGCTGAGCAGGTTTACGCAGTAAAGCAAGGCCAGCTAGTGTACTTAGAGTCAGAGGGAGGTACATATGAAGGAGTATGTCAAATTGTGTCGGAAACACAGTCTCAAGTAACAACTGAATTGGGCTTGCATATTGTTTTGTGATGTAGACTGGATGAGGGCTCGCGGATTGCACTAAACATATATAATGTACAATAACCTACTACCAATTGAGGATGACGGAAGCCGTTTCTTCGAGCCGACTTACATCCGCCAGTGGCAGGGTTCATGCCATGAGGAGCGCACAAGTCTCATATTTTCCGTAAACGATATGACGTGACTATAAGTACTGGAAAGCCGGGGTGCAGCTTCTGTGTATACAAGTATTACAACGTCTTCGCATTCTGGGGTGTATTCTCCTATATTATTGAGATTTCTCTCGCTCAGTTCTATGCTCTCGACTTGCATTCGGAGGATAGCTTCAGTTGAGACCTAGTACACGCACCGTGAAGCCGACCTTTGCGCTGGCACAAGAAATTCGCAATAGGCGCCAAGGGGATCTAGTGGCAATCAGCAGTGCCTTGCTTGGCCAGATCATGTGATCCCCGGAGTCCGGCGGAGTCCGCCAGACTCGCTGGACTCAACGGTCTCGATGTTCTCACCTTGCTATTATGAACTATAGCCCTACTGGCCTTCCGCTGCGACCATATGCATGTGTCTCAGTAGACGGAAATGTCAATATGTACCGGGACCGATTTATGGAGGGCCTCGGCGCCATCGGTTTACAACATCAATCTGAATTCCATGTGCAGTGTGCTCTGTACTCACACCTCCGCCTAACTATCTCGGGCGTGAGCAAGTCCATGAATGAGCCGTCATTAGTCTAAGACTAACAGTATACCAGTAATTATTCGTATTGCAGACTCTACGCATAAAAGTCTTCAGAACTTTGCACAGAAATGATCTACAGTGTGATCCATCTTAATCGTGCATCGTGCCAACTAGTAACACAACACCTCCACAGCGCTCCAAACCTGAAATCCAGGTCACAACAAAGAACAAGGTGGAATCAGCTAGCAATGGCACCAAATGGGAGACCCCGAGATTAGGAATGACAATAAATGCCTGTAGTGATCTGCACGACGAGTTCTCCGTCAACACAGGGCCAAAGGGGGAACCCCACATCAGGCTCACCTGGGAAACCTTCCCGTCCACGTACTCTCTGAGCGACTTCATGAAAATCCGCATATGGTCATGCACATTCTCACGGCATTTATCACAGCGCGTAGCCTCCCTCAGTGCTTGATCGCACAGCGCGGGATCTTCGAGGGCCTCGCCACACGGCTTGTCTTGGAGCGCGGAGGCACAGCGCTCATAATGAGCGATGAACCACCTCTTGATATGGCGTCCGACTTCCCCTCCGTCAGGGCCGCGTAGCGGGCGTGAAATCTCGTCGCGTCCGCATCCGCAGGCGACTAAGCTCGTGAATACCCATGCGCCATCTTGGAACCAAGACAGGGTCCTAGTAGCCTCAGCGAGAACGCTTGCGCACTGTCTACGACAGGCGAGTAGCTGATGATATGACCTCGCGTCGATGTCCTGGAGCTCGTCCACGTAGGCTTCTGCGGCAGAAACCGGAGGAAGCGCGAGGAATCGGCGTGCAGCGGCCTCCCGGACGCTGGGTCTATTGTACAGAGTTGCAATGCAGAAGACGCGGAGGGTTTCTTTTCTGACGAAGTCGCGTACAAGCACGTCCTCGAGAGAATCCATCACGGCGTCCATTTGGTACTTATGTGCGGCGGAGAGGACGGCCTTGAGGTCGTCGAGTGAGGTGAACGCATAGGTGGGTGGAGGGTAGATGGTTAGAAGCAGGCACCGAAGGGTGGTACTTGTAAGTTCGGGTAGGTCAAGAATAGGCTCGAGTTCCAATGAACTAGAGCTGAGGGAAGGCTTGTGATCGCCTCCTCCATCACTGTCCACGTCGAATTGGGAAGGCTGGATGGGTCGTCTGCCAAGCGCGAACATGTCGGCAAAGACAGGAGACGCCTCCCGCAGGATGGACTTCCAGACACGGAATTTTACATTATCTGAAGTACGAAGGATAAGGTCTGCTGAGGGATTGTTGAACGGAGGCTCTGCATCAGCGGGAGAGGGGACACCGGATCTATCTTCCTCGGGGTTGGAGAACGAGACGGCCTCTTTCTGAGCCACTGTAAAACCATCAGCCATGAGAGCATCGAGCGTGGATGGCGCTATACTCACTAGAAGTCTCTGGAACAACTACTATATATGTAATTGGGATTGGAAGAGCGAGCTAGATGGTCACCAGCAGATTGAGGATGGAGAGTGTAACGCTAAAAGAACTTGCCAGTCCACTGCAAAAACATAGAGCGTTCGGGCCCGCTCCGTGCGTGCCTTGTTTGGCCACCTACCCAAAACGACAGGACAGGAGCTAGACCCCACATAACGAGCGACAATTGTCAGTCCCTTTGTCTCCTCTGCTGCTGGGAACCAAAACATCTACAACCAGTTCCCTCGCCTAGGATTTCCCGATATCAAGCTTAGATCGCCATATACATGTCTTTGGCTCCAAATCTGTAAGTGGTCACTGACCGCGAAGACGCAGTCGATTGTCCTAACTCCCCATGCTTGAACATGGCCCATAACGAGAGCTCTAGGTCGAGGCTATCAAGACGGTGGTCAGATAACTTCCGGGCACCCATGGCGGCGTCATGTGAACTGTTGTGAGAACATCGCACACAGTCGCTGTGTAGCGATCCTGGAGCCGTGAGGTTTGATTGAAGATACAGCCCTGTATATAGTTGATACCAGCAAGCAAACTGCCAGAACGTGTCTGTGTCTGGGCAATCACCCATGTTGTACACCGCCGCGCTGCTAGAACTGCTTCAATAGAGGCAGACATAAGTGCGCAAGCCCGAGAAGGATGGATCCCTTCATCTTGAGCAGAAGCTTTTCAGACACGGGTATGAGGAATAGGCGTTGAGTCAACTCCGGAGAGCTACCACAAGCAAAGCTCTGAAATACGCGCCGGGACTGCATACTTGAGTTCAGAAAACCTGATAACGAAGTGTAGACATCGGGTAGACTTACACAGACTGTTGTCTTAGGGAGTCGAAGTAGACTGTTGATCTCGTCGATCAGCCTGACGGAGGTCAGTAGCAGCGAACACACTCGCCGGTATGGTCAGGCATTAACGTTGTCCACCTCAGTCTGCACCTGCGTCAACGCCTCAATCTCTTCCGGTGTCTTGCCCCAATGCGCAACGTCGATCCCCATCATCGCCGGAAGCCTATTGAAGATCTCGGAATGCTGATCCTTCTGCCTCCCTTCCTTGCCCAACATCTCGAAACATCGTGGGCACAGCTCGCGCCTCGTGTCCGCCCACTCGACGTATGCCGTCCACGTCCAGTCCCACCGGAAAGAGTACAGCACGGTCCCCTCCTCGAGCGTCTTCAGCAGCTTCAGCAGCACTTCCCCACACGTGTCGCGGCGCATACAGTCCTCGTGGACTTCCGGGTGCAGGATCCTGAGCGTCGCCTGGACGTTGGCTTCCAGCAGCTTCGCGCGCCCCACCATGCACCGCGCGAGATCCTCGTTCGACAGCGTCTCGCGTGTGCCGTCCTCGCGCTCGAACCCGTCCACAATTCCGGTCTCGAGCAGACAGCAGGCCATGAGCGCCCCTGGGAGCATCTTGTCCTGGCCGAGAAGGCGGGCGAGGTTGACGACGCCGATGGCGTGGATGCGCTCCAAGTTCGGTGGTGTGATGCATGTGGTGCTGTCCCGCCAGCCTTCGAAGTTGTCGTGGTAGAAGCGCTTCAGATAGTCGACACAGCTTCCCAGGAGCTTCTCGCATTGGTATTTGTGCGCGAGGCGAATGACGGAGGATAGCTGGTGGTAAGTGGGGTCAGAGAGACCGCCGAAGCTGTAGGACAAGAATATCAGTCTATATTCTCAGACCGTACCACGAAACGACAGAGATTCATGTTGTATGACAGCATCGACGTACGGAATTGAATGTCCGACAAACATTCGGAGGAAATGGCGTAGGTCAGGGAGCGAGTCGCCGTGAAGGTGTACGGTGGCGTAGGAAGGTCCGGAGACGTGCTCACGCGAATGATTATCGAGGGACGGCGGCTGAGGAAGCGATAGCATGTCTTTGAAGACAAGCGATTGTGCTACGAGTGGGCCCTTGAAGAGGCGGAACTCGACATTGTTCGCGATGAGGACGAGATTGCCGTCCTCATACCACAACTCTTCGTCTCGCTTGAGTAGCTGATCGATTGCAGACTCGCCTATCTGTGCATCGTCAGAACGAACGGTCGATCGGGCGGCGGTGTCAACTTTGCCGTCAGACTGGGAGATTTTAGGCGATAGAGAGGTGAGAGGAACAGAGCGATCTCCATCCAACAACGCTTGGGGAGCATGATCGTTGACTATATGATGGTCATCCTTTTGGATATGAGAGGTAGTGGCGTCAGCCTGGAGGCTGTGTGTCGGGGGAACAGATTGTTGTTCTCCTTCTAGGAGCGGAGATTGAAGCTGGCCCTCCCTGCTTTGCTCCGAGGTTGTCGATGTTGTCGATCTGTCGACCTCGTCTGAGTCATCTCGTGTCGAATCGGAAGTAACTTCTGAGCGGTCAGTGTTACTGTCCATGCGGAGAGGTGGTAGCTCAAGGATGTGAAAGCGGCCTTGGGTCCTCCCAAGGAGTGGTGAGAAGGATTGCTATGCGGAAATGGTACTGGTGTAAGCGGCGTTATGATGGATTAGGCTGAGGGTCGACTTACGAGGATTGAGAGTAGTACTACTACAAGGTCGAGCAGATGCCACATTGTCTGCGAGACGTCAGGTATTGATATTGTGATGCTTGCCGTTGCGATTCTTGAGACATCAAGGTAGTAGGGCGGACAGTCTCTCGACTTTATGCTGATCAAAAGCCGTCTATTTGTAGGGAGCAGATGATTTGAAAATGGGTGGCAGTGGTCATTGAGTACTCGAAAGGTTTGCCGAAGGCACGTCCACCTTGCGTGCGGTGGCACTGGTCAAGCTGAGCACTGCGGACAGTAGTGCAGTGGACCCTCACGGCTGCCTTACTGCAACTGAGTAGACATGCGGTGTCGGAAGGAGACTCGCGCCGTCGCTCGGAACTGAACGTTGTCCTCGGCGCGTATCAACACGTGACACGATTGACCCACTTACGCGGAAGTTGGAACCTGTGCAACCTCCCCCAGTCAGCTTGCTCCTGATTCTGGGCCTATGTCGGACGTGTTCAGACGGTAGGCGTTGCTCGACTAAATACATTGAATAATAATTCTGATTACGAGGCGTGCCGATGAGCCAGCGAATACTCCGTTCTTAGTACTATGACTTCGATTCGACGTTTGCGGCCGCTAGCAGCAAGTATGTGCTACGGCAACGCTGCGGTAAGTGCTTCGTCCTGATATATGCGCATCCTGAGCGGCCAAGCACTCTCTTCACTCCATCCACACACCCCTGAATCGAACGAAAGTGAGTAGCATTGCGTATTATCTTGATAGTCCACCATTCCGATACTTCTTTGCACGTTGAACAGTGGCCAACACCGAAATCACGAACTCAGAAACCGAAGCTAATACTAGTATCGCCTCCACGGACACGGTTACGGAGGCAGGGCCTCCCTTCAACAAACCTTCTGCAGACCTCATCCTCCGCACTTCAGACAATGTCAAATTCCATGTCTGGAAGTTCATTCTCGAGGAGGTGTCCCCTGTGTTCGCCGCCATGTTTGTCCCTGGTGCACAACCTGTTTCCTCACAGGAGAAAGACACTACCTATCGCGACGCCGAGGACAATCACGGACGCGGACAGGACTCGGCTACAGATATCCCCTTCGTACACGTTTCGGAGACTAGCACCGTCCTCCGACGCCTACTCTTGACCTTGTATCCTCCGTCGAACCTCCAGTTCGCTTCGCTCGACGAACTGGGGCCTGTCCTTGCTGCAGCCCGCAAATATCAGATGGGGGCGATTCTCGATTGTCTCGCAGAAGTCCTCGTCCGAGACTTCGCGAAGGCCGAGCCCTTACGCGTGTATTGCATCGCGACGCTATATGACATACCCCTTGCTCAGAGAACCGCAGCACTCCATTTCCTCGCTTTTTCCACCTCTGAACACGCCAAGGACTATGACGTGGACGAACTACGGGATATCGACGGAAGGGCATATCACCGTCTGCTTTCCTGCCGTTGGCAGTGCACCGCTGCTCTCGCCGAGACCCTCAAAGATCTCTCCTGGTTTCCGGACGACCTCTTGTTTTTCACGAACAACAAGTCCTGCAGCTGTGCCTCCGAGAAGACCACGTACGCGTTGCGCGGTCCAGACGGGACCACGGTCCAACATAACCTCAAACGCTGGTTCTTCGCACACATCCAGCGTATGACCGTTGTTCTGCAAGACAAGCCATCAAGTGACGGTCTGAAGGACCCCGCGCTGTGCGACCAGACCTTGAAGGACGCATTCAATTGCGGCACATGCCGTGGGATGGCGTTTGAGCACATGAGGCAGTTCATGAAGTTGCTGGAAGACCACGTTGAGGAGACGGTGTCTCAGGTGAGTCAATCGTATTGATGACGGATGTTGCGCATGCTGACCGCGGAGTAATGCGAGATAGATCATTACCAGCATGTTCGGCCATGAATGATGCAGTTGTTGCCAGTTCATCAGATATAGCTTCACGCCATGCTTCTAGCATTACCGTATATCTAGACTTGTCTGTTTGGTGCAGCCTCGAGAAGGGGCGGCTCATCTTGCTCTTGTACCAGTAAAGTGTTCTTTGAATTGTACATGCTCGCCGTCGTCGAGTAGTTTTGTGTCTCTTTTGTCTCCAAGTTGTCAATGCGCACAGACGAAGGGGGTTCCGATGAGATGACGTCGAGAAACGCCGCTTCCAAGCCATTTTGCAACAATTTGCAACACAGCGGCAGAGACAAGTGAAATTTCGCCCCTAAAATTTTAAAGGGGATTTGAAAGGCACTAGTAAGAGGGCTGCGGCCACAAACTACAGTTGTAAGTTGTAAGGGGCCCCACATCATGTACAGTCGCCGTCTGACGCACGTGCGGCCAAGCGCACAGGACTTTGTTTAGCGCTTGAGTAAGGCTGGGCGCCCTGTTCGTGTCGTTCATGATCGGCTTTTAATCCGTGCGTAAGCTCAATGGATATCCAGGGCTTGCTCCCGCCAGAGGCCAGATGCTGAAGAATAGCTAGACAGCAGTGCGCCCTTGCGGCGACGCCTGTGCTTCTTAATCACGCTAGACGTCATGTGTGCTGCGATAGGTTGGGCGACGTCCGACTCCCGAAAGTTCTTTTCAAAGCGTTACTCCATCCATCCTCAATCTGCTGCTTACCGTCTCGCTCTCTCTTCCAGCCATAACTAGATACATAGTGGTTGCTGCAAAGACTTCAGTCAGTGAGTATAGCGCCGCTTGACACGCTCGATGCTTTTCATGGCTGATGGAGTTATAGTGGCTCAGAAAGAGGCCGTATCGTCCTCCAACCCCTCCGGTGTCCCTTCTCCCGCTGAAGCAGCGCATCCGTTCAACAATCCCTCAGCAGACCTAATCCTTCGCACTTCAGACAATGTAAAATTTCGTGTCTGGACGTCCATCCTGCGGGAGGCGTCTCCTGTCTTTGCCGACATGTTCGCGCTTGGCAGACGACCCATCCAGCCCTCCCAATTGGACGCGGACAGTGATGGAGGAGATCGCAAGCCTTCCCTCAGCTCTAGTTCATTGGAACTCGAGCCTATTCTTGACCTACCCGAACTTACAAGTACCACCCTTCGGAGCCTTCTTCTAACCATTTACCCTCCACCCACCTATGCGTTCACCTCACTCGACGACCTCAAGGCCGTCCTCTCCGCCGCACATAAGTACCAAATGGACGCTGTGATGGATCTCCTCAAGGACGTGCTGGTCCGCCACTTCGTGAAAGATGAGGCCCTCCGCGTCTTCTGCATCGCAACAATGTACAACATACCCAGCGCCCAGGAGGCCGCTGCACGCCGATTTCTCGCGCTTCCTGCAAATCCCGCCGCAGAATCTTACGTGGACGAGCTTCAGTACATTGACGCGAGGTCATTGAAGAAGTTCGAGGGCAAGCGGGCACAAATGGGATTCGCGTTTGGCCGGTGCAAACGCGTGCCGTACACAGTAGATACAATAAGGCTTATATACGTAGCTAAATAGGGGTAGATAAGGGCGCGGGTATCCGTCGGGGGGCGGGACCTGTGGCGCTCGTTCCGCGAGCTCGCCATCTTGACGCCAGGATTCCAACAACGCCAGGATTCCAACAGTCATATCATCAGCTCCTGGCCTATCGCAGACAATGCACGAGCGTTCTCGCTGAGGCTACCAGGGTACCGTCTTGGTTCCCAGATAGCGCATGGGCATTCACGACCTTAGTCAATTGTGGGTTTGGACACGACAACCAAACTCTACGCCCTTTACGCGGCCCTGACGGCGGGGAAGTTGGGCGCCATCTCAAGTGGTGGTTCATCGCTCATTATGAGCGCTGTGCTGCCGCCCTTCAGGATAAGCCAAGCAGCGAGGCCCTCGAAGATCCCGCACTGTGCGATCAAGCACTGAGGGAGGCTACACGCTGTGATAGATGTCGCGAGAATGTGCATGACCATATGCGGATTTTCATGAAGTCGCTCAGAGAGTACGTGGACGGAAAGGTTTCCCAGGTGAGCCTGCCGTCTGACTTTCCTTGCCCTCCTGCTCACAGTGAACTTGTTCCGTAGATCACTACAAGCTTCTTCTGTTCTTCATAAATTCCGAGTCCTCTATCCTATCGTAGGCGGTTGGCACATGAGATACGCCGCGGTGCCATTGCTGGTATGCCTTGCCCTGTTGTTAGTCCGGTTTCATGACATGAAAAGCTCTGTATAGTTGTGAAAGTGTTGTTTCATTTCCATCACATACGAATAGGACAGCGATCACGTTTTGGAGGCCTCCCATGATGTCTAATGGATGCTTTCAACTCGAAAAAAGGGCTGAAAGCTTGAACGGCCTCTGCTCCTCGTTACTCACGCAACAACCACCAATCACGTACTCTAGCTCGCCGACGTCCCCGTTCGAGAAAGCTCTGCGTCTATTTACTTCTGCCTAATAGAAGTCGCGTGAGTAAAGAGTATAATACACGTGCGTTTCGTATAGCGTCTTGGTCCGATGTGATCGACATCGATCTGTCGCGGTGCAGTCTCGTATCGTCAGCCTGCAGAGACATTTCAAACCGGCGGAAAGTAAGTGATGCAATCAAAGGTGCTCCACAACAGCTAGGATGCTGATGTGCTATCGACCTGAAGTGGTTGGAAGCCTCGGGATCCCTTCAGCGCACGAGCCAGCGTCGACTGCAACGTTCGAATCTACATCTGCATCTCCTCCTCGTACAGCGGACCCTCCCTTCAACAAGACATCTGCAGACATCATCCTGCGCGCATGTTAACTACGTCGACTCCCATATCTGGAAATGCATCCTCGCAGAAGCATCGCCCGTTTTCGAGGACATGCTCAAGCTTGCACACCATGAAGAGCGGCCTGAAGGAGATACACCAGTTCGTGGTTGCCCTACCGAACCGTCGGTGGACGTCATACATGTATCCGAGACCGATACCACGTTGACAGCCCTCCTCCGGTGGATCTATCCTCCTCCGCATTACGACTCGCCTCAGTCGTTGACGGTGCTGGAACCGGTGCTTGCTGCTGCGCATGTATACCAAATGGATGGAGTCGTTTCGATGATCAGCGCTATCCTCATCAACGACTTGGCGAAAGCTGAGCCACTGCGTGTGTACGCGATTGGCACCGGCTACCGTCTAGCGGACGTCATGCGAGCCGCCGCGCGTGGTTTCTTCACACTTCCCCCATCCGCCGCGAAAGCCTATGTCGCCGAGCTCGAGGATATCAGCGGCGGGGCGTACTACCGTCTTTTCAAGTACCGCATGGATTGCGTGGCCACGCTAGCTGACATGATGGCGAATCTGACATGGTTGGCCGACGATGGATGGGTGTTCAAGTGGATCACGCCCAAATGTGTTTGCGCGGGGAATCGAGAAGCCATGAAGTATCGCTTCAGCGACTCCGATGACGAGTACATCCTCAGTTCCTGGTTCACGGCACAGTACCAGCGCATCGCGTCGCTGCTGCAAGACCAGCCATGTCAGGAGGCCCTCGAAGAACCGGGCTTGTACGACGAGGCACTCAAGGAGGTCATTCAATGCCCGATCTGTCAAGGAAGAGCATACACAGATATGCGGCTCTTCGCGAACCGTGTCAGAGATGAGATAATCCGGAGGATTGAAGAGGTATGCACGAGTACTTATCGAAAGGATTTGGCCATGAACCCTGACCGTGTTATAGGTTTCCTTGCAGTTACATTGTAAGGGTCATATCCACTTGGTTGGTCGTACCTCGGAGCTGGTTGAGATGCGGGGCATAGTAGCTGCGATCACACAAAGTCAGGCTGAACCATTATGCAACATGAATAAAGTTTTACAGAAATCGAATGTCCGTATGGCCACGACAAGCAAAAACCCTACAATGACGCAAAATGAGGGCACGCTCCGATCCACCGCACCCCAGCTTATGACAGGAGTGCGAAGACGGCAGCGGTGAGGCCCATCGCGATTGTACCGAACGCGACATTCGCCTTCCCGCCGAGCGCGCCGTTGTTCGTCCCGCCCGAGCTGCTCTGATTGGACCCGCTCGTAGTGCTCGGCGACGACCCAGCCGTGCTCAAGCTCACAGTGACGGTGGTTTCCACACCACTAGTATCGGTCGAACTCGCACCAGAGCCGGGCCCCGCGCTCGACGTCGTGGCCGGAGCAGTACTCGCCGAGGAAGCGCTTGAGTCCGAGCTCGAGCTGGATGCTGAAGTGGTAGACACAGACGTCGACGACGTCGCTGAGGGCGCCGCAGTGCCACTGCCCGTCGCACCCGCCCCTCCCCCTAGGTAGTCCGGGGGCGGAACGACCTTGGACTGGTCGACGAGAGCGCCGACGCCCCACGGTATTTTTTGTCCGCCTGGCTGGGTGTCGTTCGCGGGAGGGGTCGTCGAGCCGTCGGCGGCCGCGATCGTGAAGCGCGTCGTCCAGGTGAGGTTCTTCGGCGCGGCGGGCGTCGAGAACTGATAGAAGTAGATGGCGGAGTTGGGTTGGACCTGCGTTCGGCGGGACGCGCGGAGCAGCAATGATCAGACTCGTGCGTGGAGAGGCGCGCGCGAAGAGCAAGGGAGATGGACTCACGTCAGGGCAGGCGTAAGAGTACGTCGTCTTCGTCGTGTCCGTCCCATCGATGGTCGCGACGGCTGCGCGCGACAAAAAAATCAGCGCTCGGCTCACGGTACTTTTATTCAACACGAGATGAGAGCGTGCGAGTACTCACTGGTGACAGGGACCATGTTGAAGTTATCTCCGGACATAAGCTGTACCGTCAGCTGTTTCCATTGGCCAGATGGGTCGGGGGTCCACGAGAAGGTGCACTGAGCGCCCTCCTTGAACACGTCGTTTGGGCCCGGCGCGGTAGGCACAACACCTGGAATCACGGGCGCGCTGGTCGTCGCAAGGGCGGCGTTGAGGATTCCATGCCCGGCGAGCGCGGGGTTGAAAACAGCGTTGAATCCGCGCATTGCGTGTGAGGGTCCGGGGGATAAGGTTTGGCTGAGGGAAGCTGTATTGGCGCGTTTGTGAAGCCGAGCCGACAGGGAATGGTAAATGCCTGTTCAACTTGACTGCTCGGACAATATGCGTGAGATCGACGTACCTGTACGGCTCTCACTTGCTAGAGAAGTTGTTCAAAAGGTAAGAAGCGGCACACCCGGAAGACGAAAATGCGAAAGGCGAAACGAGCGCAGTGTCGGGAGTGCTGGCGGTAGTAGCAGACGGGAAGCTTGGAAGGGAGAGATCGCTGCTCAAAATGGCGATGCCCTTTGTATGTACGCTCCCACCGAGGCATCCTGACGGCGGATTGTCGCCTTCGCTCTGATGTATCGCCTCACGCACCCGCAGCGTGATCAGGATGCCTCAGGATGCCTCCCGCCAATGGTAGTGATGCGCATCTGAGTGAGAGCCACATCTGTCAGCCGCATCCACGGGCTCGCTGACGCCGCCGCAGAGGGGTCAGTCTCTGACAGCTGACTCTGAGTTGCATCTGGCGCATCGCGAGAGGGCGGAAGAGCAAGATCGCCGGGGGGAAGGGTGCGGATGCTACAGAAAGGAGCGGTGCAGATGCGAGAGAAGCAGTGCATCGCAATGTCGCTAGAAATCAATTTGAAACAGCGTGATGGCTGCGGCTGTTCGTTATGCGGGACCAGGGACCCGAACGCGGGGTACCTACCGCGCGACATTGCGCACAGCGTACACTGTGTGTTCGTCTAAACTCGATATGTATGTACATTCAAGCTGCAAGACCGACAGGAGTCCAAGCAGGGTCACACGAAAGTGCTTCAGGTCGATGAAGAATAGGAGAGATCAGATCAATGTATGCGTTGTGGAAACGTGCGAAGAGCGCTGTGGCAACATCTGTCCCTGGTGCAACGGAAGCCAAAAACAAGCTGTAACGTTAGTCTCCAAAGCCAAGCCGTGCGTGTAGGGATGGTGAATGCTACCAAACCCGGCCATTCCGTGAGTGCGAAGTCAAAACAGCCAGCTCAACAGTTCTTGAAAACTGGTCTTCGTGACTTGCCTGTCTGATTCGTGTTGTTCCATAGCTTGCGACGGCTGCTGCTCAGCATCTGGCCTGTTTCTATTACAGAACTATGGATTAAGTCCTTTGTGAGGGTGTAGTACTCAAGTACATGAAAAGCAGTCCGGGAGGGGTGTCGCACTGCACATGCAGAAGAGCACTCTGTTCGGCAACCCCGCGCTGAGTCTCTGCCCTCGGGCTCTCCGTGTTGATGATATTTATGCTCATGTACCTCAGTAGATGTTCATACCATGCACACAGTCGGCGGAGAAGGACATGTTCACGCGGACCCCATCCTAGCCGCATGCCTCCCGGTGCGATGGCATACGAATTCC